CCACGTATTGGGATTTTTTTTTTTGCGAAGACACGAAGCAGGATACATTTTGGCTGAAATTTGTGACGAAATTTGATTTTTTAAATTTTTTTATTGGACGTGATTAATAGCAAAAAAGTAAAAAATTTTGTTTTTTTTTCTCTAAATTGTCGGGTTTTAAGGCTTACAGTGCAAAAAATAAAAAACGCAGAGACAATCAAATACCACCAAAATAAAGCTCCATTCGTGGGAAAAAAAGGATGTAAATTTCATTTGGGTGCAGCGTCACATGACCGCGCAATTGTCAGTTAAAGTTACGGAGCACCGTATTGCAAAAAATGGCCTTGTCAGGAGGGAGGGGATGAATCCTCTGGGGGGGGGTTAAATCTTCAAACAAACCATCTCGAAAACTCCACCGGACTTCTCTTTGCAACCTGCCACCATCATTTAATGGTCTAAAGAGTCAACCACAAAATACAGAGAGGTAACTGACAGACCTGACATAAAAAAACAGCTTGAAACCTTCCAAAACAACACCTATGAGGTAAGCCCAGGAGATGTCAACCTGGCAGCAAAGGACATCCACAAAATATTACACACCATTGCAGGAAAGGCCTAGCTGAGAAAAGTCAACTACAAGAAGCCATCCAACAAACAATCCAATAAATGGTTTGATTGCAAAAGAATGCAAAGCATTGAGGAACACCTTACGGACGGTCTCAAATAACAAACCCAGAGACCCCCAACAACACCAGACCTAAGGAGAGCTCATGACACCCTACAGAAAAAATAAAAACAAACCCTTAAAAAGAAAAAAACAAAACTTCATCACCAACAACCTGTAATAGTTGTTCCTTCAGGAAAACTCCTTCTGGGACATATGGAAGAATATTGGCTCAGCAACCAGGAAAAATGACCTACGCATCCAAAATGGGCGGCACCTGGCTCAACCACTTTTAAGAACCTCTACAAAAGATATCCCAGAAGAGGCGCTAACTGTGGAACAAAAAGGCATCATCAAATCATCAAAAGCCTGAATGATATGGAGGAAAAAAATCAAGGACTCTCAAAGAAATGGAGAAAATTTTCGGAATGGATGGAATCCTGCCAGAGAGGATTAAACACGGCTCCCCAGATAGACATGCTGCCATATGTAAAGTTTTCAACCTGGTCCTGAGTGCTGGTCACTACCTTCAAGTATGGAACCAAGGCCTAATAACACCCCATCCATAAAAGTGGAGACCAGTATGATCCAGCCAACTACAGAGGAATATGTGTCAGCAGCACACCAAGGAAACTATTCAACACTATCCTCAACAAAAGGATCCTCAACTTCCAGATGGAACACAACGTCCTCAGTAGAAGCCACGTGGGGTTCATGCCAAACCACCACACTACAGACCACATCTACACCCTGCACAGTCTCATCAAGAACCATGTCCATCATACAAAATATGGAAAGATATTTGCCTGTTTTGTGGACTTTAAGAAGACCTTTGGCTCAGTGTGGCACCCAGGGCTGTTCCTGAAAATATTAGAGAGTGGAATAGGAGGGAAAACCTCAAGAGATTATATATACCAAGAACGGCTGCATCGTAAAGGTGAACAAGAAAAGAACAGAGCACTTCCAGCAGGCCCGAGGTGACGGACAGGGCTGAAGCCACGTCCAACCCTCTTCAACATCTACATCAATGAACTGCTCTAGAATCCTCCCCAGCACCTGGACTGACTCTACGTGACACCGAAGTGAAGTTCCTGCTGTATGCGGATGACCTCCTACAGAGAAAGGCCTACAAGACAGTCTGGAAGTGCTGGAGACCTACAGCACCACATGGGCACTACCTATCAATTCAAAGAAAACAAAAATCATGGTGTTCCAAAGGAAGAACACAAAACAAGCTAAGAGCCCTACATCAAACAAATGCACTCTTAATGAATCCCACAGCTACACATACCTTGGCCTTGAAATGAACCAATCAGAAAGTTTCAAGCCAGCCATAGAGGCCCTGAAAGACAAGGCAACAATCTGACCTGACAAATTCTCAAATTAAAAATGTAATGAATGATTCCCAAGAAAAATATGTTGAGAAACTGTTTACCAATCACTGCAGAGAGACTGCAAAATGGCCCTGTACCTGGAGGTGCTACAAGACCCCAAAGACAGGCAGACCCTGAGCCGGTACAGACTTAGTGCCCATGGCCTGGAAATCGAATCAGGGCGGGACAGACAGACCTATAAGCCCAGGAGTGTGCCAGCAATGTGACCAGGGGGTCCTGGAGGATGAGGACCATTTCCTGCTACAATGTGACCAGGGGGTCCTGGAGGATGAGGACCATTTCCTGCTACAATGTGACCAGGGGTCCTGGAGGACGAGGACAACTTCCTGCTACAGTGTGACCAGGGGATCCTGGAGGATGAAGACCATTTCCTGCTACAATGTGACCAGGTGGTCCTGGAGGATGAAGACCATTTCCTGCTACAATGTGTCCAGGGGGTCCTGGAGAATGAAGAATCATTTCCTGCTACAATGTGACCAGGGGGTCCTGGAGGATGAAGAACCATTTCCTGCTATGTGACCAGGGGATCCTGGAGGATGAAGAACCATTTCCTGCTACAATGTGACCAGGTGGTCCTGGAGGATGAAGACCATTTCCTGCTACAATGTGACCAGGGGGTCCTGGAGGATGAAGAATCATTTCCTGCTACAATGTGACCAGGGGGTCCTGGATGATGAGGACCATTTCCTGATACAATATGACCAGGGGGTCCTGGAGGATGAGAGAGAGAGAATATAAATATATATATATATCTTATATACATACACACACTTATTGAACTCTTGCTCTCTCATTGGGGGGCGCACACAAAATCTAAATACACCACTCTTGCCCCTCCCCCAGCCTATGACTGGACAGTGAAAGGAGAAGCAGCAGACTGATGAGCTCATCTCTCTATCACTCTGCTCTCTCCTCCTTTCAGCATGTCCCTTGTTAGAACTTCAGCACAGCCGATTGGCTCCTTGTTCTGCTTCTCCCTCTCCCAATCTGAGCTTCTATGTACAGATACTGCAAGAGCCTGATACCGGGTCACATTCAGGTACTTACACTGCTTACATTTATTAATAAAATACTATTTCACTGTTGTAGGCAATGCAGAGCTGCTGTCATTTGTGTCTTTTATATCTGCTTGGAGTTCAGCATTATTAGATGTCTATTATTTTGGGGTTTAGGGTGAAGAACGAATTAATATAAAAGCTGAGGTTAAAGAGGAAGAAGAGGAGACGTATGTGGGGGGGGATCAGCCGTCCGCGGAAGAGGTTGGGATGATGATGAAGAGTGAACGGGAAGAAATGTCTCCACTTATCAACACTTGTAAGTACAGGCACTGTGGAAGAAACGGGTCGCAGTCTCATTTTACTTCTGAGTATATAGATTGTAGTTTTAGGAAAAATGTTAGATAATTCTCACATCTTCACATCATCCTGGAGGAAGGTGCTAAAAGGGTTAAATATGTGTTTGCCTAATAAAGGGTTAATGTGTGGTGTTGCAATGGTTAACACTTAGTGCTGTGATGAGCCTTCCCCTGCATGTGTTACTTTCTGCTTCTGAAGAGATATATGTAGGAGGAGACCGGACCTTGTGGTGTGTCCCTGTATGGGGAGTTCATCTGTGAGGGCACTGCAAAGATGTGAACCAAACTGTACAATGGAGTTTCCCTTTAGCGGGACCCAAGGATGGGTTCCAAGGCTTTTGATGCTGCTTACTGGGACACAACTAATCTATAAAAAATTGAAACAAGTGACACCCGCATTACCCTACAAAATAGTTTAGTGAAAATATGATGGGAGCGAGTGTGTCCCCCAGGCCATCTTGCTGAGGACTCAAGGCTGGCTTTGTCACTCCATATGTAAGGTCCATCTCCTCAAAATAACGTCATGTTCCCAACAAATGAGGAGGAGATACTGGACACCATATGAAAGGTCCATCTCCATTCCTCAATATAACGTCATGTTCCCAACAAATGAGGAGGAGATACTGGACACCATATGAAAGGTCCATCTCCATTCCTCACTATAACGTCATGTTCCCAACAAATGAGGAGGAGATACTGGACACCATATGAAAGGTCCATCTCCATTCTTCAATATAACGTCATGTTCCCAACAAATGAGGAGATACTGGACACCATATGAAAGGTCCATCTCCATTCCTCAATATAACGTCATGTTCCCAACAAATGAGGAGGAGATACTGGACACCATATGGAAGGTCCATCTCCATTCCTCAATATAACGTCATGTTCCCAACCAATGAGGAGGAGATACTGGACACCATATGAAAGGTCCATCTCCATTCCTCAATATAACGTCATGTTCCCAACCAATGAGGAGGAGATACTGGACACCATATGAAAGGTCCATCTCCATTCTTCTAGAGATCAGCATTTCCACTGATGGGGAGAAGGAGCTAAAACTACAGATATTTGTCAACTACTGACATTTTTTTTTTTTTTTTTTTTCTATTTCTCTCCATCAGATGGCGCTGATGTCAGGAATTCCTCGGAGAGATGTCTTCTATTATCTGCTGATTGGAAGTCAGAAGATAATGCCATCACACAGGATTCTCCAGGAGTGAATCCAAATACACCCAATATCCATCACAGACCTTCCTGTCCGGAGACATCAATGGATCCCTCTGATCAGGGGGAATCTTCTGACCAATCACATACTAGGAGTGCAAATTTCCATTTAGGATCTCACACTGCAGAGAGATCAACAGATCCATCTAATCCCAAGGAATCTTCCGCACCCCATGAAGGAGCTCACCGAGGGGACAATCTATTCTCATGCTCAGAGTGCACAGAAGGTTTTTTTCTATAAGAGACCTTGTTAAACATCAAAAAATTCACACGGATGAGCGTCCCTATTCATGCTCAGAGTGCGGGAAAACGTTCACTAAAAAACGACAACTTAATCAGCACCATAGAGTTCACACAGGTGAGCGTCCCTATTCGTGTTCAGAGTGCGGGAAATCTTTCACTCAGAAAGGAAACCTTCTGCAACACCAGAAATATCACACGGGTGAGCGTCCCTATTCATGTTCAGAGTGCGGGAAAGCTTTCCATAAGAAAGATGGTCTTGTTAGACACCAGAGAATTCACACGGGTGAGCGTCCCTATTCATGTTTAGAGTGCGGGAAATCTTTCAGTGACAAAGGAGAACTTTCTAAACATCAGAACATTCACAGGGATGTGCGTCCTCATTCATGTTCACAGTGCGGGAAAGCTTTCCATAAGAAGGATGGTCTGCTTAAGCATCAGAGAATTCACACGGGTGAACGTCCTTATTCATGTTCAGAGTGCGGGAAATCTTTCACTCATAAATCAAGCCTTGTGAAACACCAAAAAATTCACATGAGTGAGCATCCTTATTCATGTTCAGAGTGCGGGAAATGTTTCACTGACAACGGAGACCTTGTTAAACATCAGAGAATTCACACGGGTGAGCGTCCCTATTCATGTTTAAAGTGCGGGAAATCTTTCACAGAGAAAGGAGCCCTTGTTTAAACATCAGAGAATTCACAGCGGTGAGCGTCCTTATGTATGTTCAGAGTGCGGGAAATCTTTCACTCATAAAGGTAGCCTTGTTATACATCTCAGATTTCACACGGGTGAATATCCTTTTACATGTTCAGAGTGCGGGAAATCATTCAATTATAAAGGAGACTTTGTTAAACATCAAAAAAATCACACAGGTGAGCGTCCTTATTCATGTTCTGAGTGCGGGAAATCCTTTGTTGACAAGGTGACCTTGGTAAACATCAGAAAATTCATAGGGGTGAGCTTCCTTTTTCATGTTCAGAGTGTGGGAAATCTTTCCTAAAGAAAAATACTCTTCTTACTCATCAGAGAGTTCACACAGGTGAGCGTCCTTATTCGTGTTCAGAGTGTGGGAAATCTTTCACTCAGAAAGGAAACCTCGTGCAGCACCAAAGATTTCACACGGGTGAGCGTCCTTTTTCATGTTCTGAGTGCGGGAAATCATTCGTTGACAAAGGTGACCTTGGTAAACATCAGAGAATTCACACAGGTGAGCGTCCTTATTCATGTTCAGAGTGCGGGAAATCTTTCCTTGAGAAACATACTCTTTTAACTCATCAGAGAATTCACACGGGTGAGCGTCCTTTTTTGTGTTCAGAGTGCGGGAAATCTTTCAGTCATAAGGGAGACCTTGTTAAACATCAGAGAATTCACACGGGTGAGTGTCCTTATTCATGTTCAGAGTGCGGGAAATCTTTCAATCATAAAGGAGTCCTTGTTAAACATCAGAGAATTCACACGGGTGAACGTCCGTTTTCATGTGCAGAGTGCGGGAAATGTTTCACTTGTAAAGGAGTCCTTGTTGATCATCAGAGGATTCACACTGGTGAGCGTCCTTTTTCGTGTTCAGAGTGCGGGAAATCTTTTACTCATAAAGGAGTCCTTGTTAAACATCAGAGAATTCACCTGGGCTAGCATCTCTGTTTATGTTCAGAGTGCGGGAAATCTTTCTATAAGAAAGATAATTTTGTTAAACTCCAGAAAATCTGATGTAGTGTGGATGGTGGAGGAGAGCTGTCAGAGAATGTAGTGTGGATGGTGGAGGAGAGCTGCCAGAGAATGTAGTGTGGATGATGGGGGGAGAAGAGCTGTCGGAGAATGTAGTGTGGATGGTGGTGGGAGGAGAGCTGTCAGAGAATGTAGTGTGGATGGAGGAGGAGATCTGTCAGAGAATGTAGTGTGGATGGTGGAGGAGAGCTGTCAGAGAATGTAGTGTGGATGGTGGAAGGAGGAGAGATGTCAGAGAATGTAGTGTGGATGGAGGAGGGAGGAGAGCTGTCACAGAATGTAGTGTGGATGGTGGAGGAGAGCTGTCAGAGAATGTAGTGTGGATGGTGGGGGGAGAAGAGCTGTCGGAGAATGTAGTGTGTGGATGGTGGTGGGAGGAGAGCTGTCAGAGAATGTAGTGTGGATGGAGGAGGAGATCTGTCAGAGAATGTAGTGTAGATGGTGGAGGAGAGCTGTCAGAGAATGTAGTGTGGATGGTGGGAAGGAGGAGAGATGTCAGAGAATGTAGTGTGGATGGAGGAGGGAGGAGAGCTGTCAGAGAATGTAGTGTGGATGGTGGAGGAGATCTGTCAGAATGTAGTGTGGATGGTGGAGGAGAGCTGTCAGAGAATGAGTGTGGATGGTGGAGGAGTAGAGCTGTCAGAGAATGTAGTGGATGGTGGAGGAGAGCTGTCAGAGAATGTAGTGTGGATGGTGGGAGGAGAGCTGTCAGAGAATGTAGTGTGGATGGTGGGAAGGAGGAGAGCTGTCAGAGAATGTAATGTGGATGGTGGGGGGAGGGAGAGCTGTCAGAGAATGTAGTGTGGATGGTGGGAGGAGAGCTGTCAGAGAATGTAGTGTGGATGGTGGGAAGGAGGAGAGCTGTCAGAGAATGTAGGGTGGATGGTGGGATGAGAGCTGTCAGAGAATGTAGTGTGGATGGAGGAGGAGATCTGTCAGAGAATGTAGTGTGGATGGTGGGGAGAGGTGAGCTGTCAGAGATTGTAGTGTTGATGGATTTAATATATCGGAGATTAGTTTAGATTTCTCTACTTCCCATCATTCCTCGGGGTTATTGTACTGTGAATGGGATGACAAACCAAATCGATCACACAATACACACACATATACAATTCGTTGGATTCAGAAGAGCGAAGTTTCTCCTAGTGATTATCAAATGATACAGTGATTGGTGCAGAATTTGGACCCAACCTGCGATTCGGAAGGCCGTGAATACGTCGTCCCGTAGAGCGAGTGTCCTTCTGATCTTGTGTTTTGAGCCCCCCCATCCCCCCACCTCCTCTCTGAACTTTCCTTTTCTTTTTATTCCCCAAATCCCCTTACACCCCGGTCACACTGGATGTGAATTACATGCTGTGCGACTTCACTGTACATCACATGATTCCAAAGTTAGATTTGATGTGACTCGGGGGGGGGGGGGGGGGGTGTTATCTAGGGACCAGCCTGGAGGGTGTTGTTTGCAATATTTACTGGTGCCTGATTGGTGTGTAATATCACCAATGGACTCTTTGCTCTGTCAGTGGTTTCACCTTTCCACAAGATGTTTCTCTAAGACTCGGAATCCCCAGATTAGGTTTGTTGGGAATAAAATTAGATTTTCTTTTGTGTATGGGATAAAATATTTTCATCACTGACTTAATCTAAATATGTTCTCTTAGTAAAAGGAATAAAATGTAATTCAAAATGTGTATTATTTCCACGTGTCTATTATTTCCATGTGACACTAATGATGGGGCACTTTTCCTCCCACTGACACCAAGGATGGGGTACTATTCCTCCCACTGACACCAATGATGGGGCACTATTCCTCCCACTGACACCAATGATGGGGCACCATTCCTCCAACTGACACCAATGATGGGACAGTATTCCTCCCACTGGCACCAATGATGGGGCACTATTCCTCCCACTGACACCAATGATGGGACAGCATTCCTCCCACTGACACCAATGATAGGATACTAGTCCACCCACTGACACCAATGATGAGACAAAATTGATCTTTTATGTACATCCATCACCTATGTACGCCCATTACCTATGTACACCCATCACCTATGTACGCCATCACCTATGTACACCCATCACCTATGTACGCCATCACCTATGTACACCCATCACCTATGTACACCCATCACCTATGTACGCCATCACCTATGTACGCCATCACCTATGTACACCCATCACCTATGTACAGTCATCACCTATGTACGTCATCACCTATGTACGTCATCACCTATGTACGCCATCACCTATGTACAGCCATCACCTATGTACAGCCATCACCTATGTACAGCCATCATCTATGTACAGCCATCATCTATGTACAGCCATCACCTATGTACAGTCATCACCTATGTACAGCCATCATCTATGTACAGCCATCATCTATGTACAGCCATCACCTATGTACAGCCATCATCTATGTACAGCCATCATCTATGTACAGCCATCACCTGTGTACGCAGCCATTTTAAAATAATTGAGCATCAAGGGACAAAAAAAACTGGGGTGATAAGAGACAGACAGCCACACCCCAGAAAGAGACTCCTGGTAGTCAGGGAGGCTTGAAACCCCTCCACGCCTTTAACCAAGCCCCCCGACCCCACGTGTCTCTCTCAAGCACCCAAATCTTCCCCACCTCATGCAAAACATCACATACCGCCACCTGAACAGGAAGGATTTTATGCCGAGTGGTGACCTGACACATAGGGGTTTATTTACTAAAGCTGGAGAGTCCAAAATCAGACTCCCTTCTGCATAGAAACCAATCGGCTTCTAACCTCAGCTTGTTCAATGAAGCTTTGGCAATGAAACCTGGAAGCTGATTGGTTTCTATGCAGAAGTGAGTCTGATTTTGCACTCTCCAGCTTTAGTAAATAAACCCCATAGACCCTGATTTACTATTGTGCCTGGGCGCATTTCCGTGGGCGAACGTCTAATTTTTATGAGTGACCGTCTACTTTTACCCCGCTAAGAGATTTACTATTGAGCAGCATCAACAAGTAGACGCCCAATCGAATTTACTAATGAGACACACGCCCGGAATCAGACTCACAAAGCAGACTTGGTAAGAGGTATGTCTAACACCATGAAAATTCACTGCAGAGACATGTTCACTTTGAAATTTGCTTTTCCAAATATCAGGACTTCACTTTAAACAATATCTGCCATTTCAAAAAATAATTTAAATGTGTTAAAAAGTTTTTTTTTAAGCAAATCGACACAGTGAATAACTAGACGCTCGTGCAGCTTATTTGGCTGATACAAATGCGCATGTGCAGAACACATTTTAGACGTCCTCTGTGGGCGTTTGCTTTTTAGCCACTGCCCAATAGTAAATCTCACTGTGGATTCCTCTGACAGCCGGCACTCGGTCGCGTCTATTGTGTTTAATAAACAGCACTCGGCATATCTTTATGTATTCTAATTTGATTTCCTTAGTTCTAGTGATTCTATTTTTGTTTCTTATCCTTTATAATTATTTATGTAATGATTTTACTTATTTCGAAGGTCTAGATCAGCGGTTCTCAACCTGGGGGTCGAACGACGCTTTCACAGGGGTCGCCTAAGACCATCGGAAAACACATATTTCCGATGGTGTTAGGAACCGAGCGGGATGACATGCCGCCCCTGTCATCTGGACACACCCTCGGGATCAATCCTCGCCGGTGATTGGCCGCCGGAACTGTAGCTCAGGAGAGGCACACAGGCGGCCAATCACCGGCGAGGAGGTGGAGCTTGGAGAGGAGGAGCCCGAGCGGCACCGCGAAGATCGAGCGGGTGAAGAGGAGGAGAGCGGCCGGAGAAGGAAGACAGCTGACAGGTAAGTGTCTGTACCATGGGAGAGGGAGGGAGCGAGCGAGCCCAGGCTGGAGCAGGGGTCAGCAAGGTAAGTATCATTGGTGTCAGTGGGAGGAATAGTGCCCCATCATTGGATTCACTAATACCAATGATGGGGCACTATTCCTCCCACTGACACCAACGATGAGGCACGATTCCTCCCCCCACTGACACCAACGATGGGGCAGTATTCCTCCCCCCACTGACACCAACGATGGGGCACTATTCCTCCCCCCACTGACACCAACGATGGGGCATGATTCCTCCCCCCACTGACACCAACGATGGGGCACGATTCCTCCCCCCACTGACACCAACGATGGGGCACTATTCCCCCCCCCCCCTGACACCAACGATGGGGCACTATTCCCCCCCTCTGACACCAACGATGGGGCACGATTCCTCCCCCCACTGACACCAACGATGGGGCACTATTCCCCCCCCCCTGACACCAACGATGGGGCACTATTCCTCCCCCCACTGACACCAACGATGGGGCACTATTCCTCCCCCCACTGACACCAACGATGGGGCACTATTCCTCCCCCCCACTGACACCAACGATGGGGCACTATTCCTCCCCCCACTGACACCAACGATGGGGCACTATTCCTCCCCCCACTGACACCAACGATGGGGCACTATTCCTCCCCCCCACTGACACCAACGATGGGGCACTATTCCTCCCCCCACTGACACCAACGATGGGGCACTATTCCTCCCCCCACTGACACCAACGATGGGGCACTATTCCTCCCCCCACTGACACCAACGATGGGGCACTATTCCTCCCCCCACTGACACCAACGATGGGGCACTATTCCTGGGGCCCCCACTGACACCAACGATGGGGCACTATTCCTCCCCCCACTGACACCAACGATGGGGCACTATTCCTCCCCCACTGACACCAACGATGGGGCACTATTCCTCCCCCCCACTGACACCAACGATGGGGCACTATTCCTCCTGACACCCCCCCTGACACCAACGATGGGGCACTATTCCTCCCCCCCACTGACACCAACGATGGGGCACTATTCCTCCCCCCACTGACACCAATGATGGGGCACTATTCCTCCCAC